TTGTCTGTGTAATATTCATCTTTATGTGGCTTTTTTATATTAATTTATCTTTTTTTGTCTCTTTGAAGCCTACATATTGTGAATCTATTGCTTTAAATTGCAGTATTTTAAGACTGAAACGGTGCTGTGGCTGCTGGCTCCGCCCATTTCAGCTTCCCAACATGGCGTTTTCTGCCAGTTCTGTGAGTCATCAAGTCTCAGAAATAGTGGGTCTAAGCTTTTATCAAAGCAGCATGTAGCCCAGAAACCTTTTTTTAAAAAATAATAGTAAAGACTAAATCTACCACACAGCGTAATGTGCCGCTGGCAGACGCCTCATTTCTGCCATACTGCTGGTCAAACGCACACGCCAGGAACCCGCTAGTGTTCAAACCCGCGTTTTGTGGCGTCTAGCTGCCTGTATGAGACAAGAAGCAGGAACCTGGTTTTGGCTCTTTTTAGAATTGGTTATTAAATATTCGCAGGTTTAAGGTGGAAACTTGAGCCGTTGGGCGCCATTTGTTGCTAGAGTTTCCTGCCTTGCCCACAGTTAGGACAAATGTCTGTCACCCACCAGTCCCACAGCCACTCAGGCCCAACCAAGTAAACACAGAGACTTATATTGCTTACAAACTGTATGGCCGTGGCTGGCTTCTTGCTAACTGTTCTTATATCTTAAATTAACCCATTTCTATAAATCTATACCTTGCTATGTGGCTGGTGGCTTACCGGCGTCTTTACATGGTGCTTGTCCTGGCGGTGGCTGCAGTGTCTCTCCCCCCTTCTTCCTGTTTCCCCACTTCTCCTCTCTCCTTGTCCTGCCTATACTTCATGTCTGGTCACTGGCCATCAGTGTTTTATTTATATAGAACGATATCCACAACAGTACTGTTCTGGCAGAAGGGAGAAGAAGGTATCAGGTCTCATGTACTTGGAGTTGAGACACAAACAGTTGTGAGCCATATTACATGCCTGGGAGGAGCCAAACTTGGGTGAGCAAACATTAGATCATTTTTCTTAAAATATCAGATATGTTTAGAATCCTATTTCACTGTACCCTTTAATCCCCTTCTTCCTAAGTGAACACTTTCCTGAGGTGGGTAATGCTTTTTGCAAGTGTAAATTTAAGTTTATATTCTTTTGCTTAAAGTTTTTATATGCATATGTCACTAAATTTATTTTGTAGTTTTTTACTCTACATTTATGGTTTATACTTAGACAAATTTCTACACTGCTTAATGTCTTGTTTTCTTTTCTTTCTTTCTTTCTTTCTTTCTTTCTTTCTTTCTTTCTTTCTTTCTTTCTTTCTTTCTTTATATATTTATTTTTTTGAGACAGGGTCTCACTAAGTATCCTTGGCTGGCCTGAAACTGCCTATGTAGAGCAGGCTAGCTTTGGACTCAAAGAGTTCTGCTTTTCTCTGTCTCTGAAGTACTGGCATTAAATGTGCTGTCATCATACCCTGGCTGCTAATTTTTGTTGTTGTTAAGACTTCTACAGTATTTCGTTGAGTAAAAACACAGAGTTCCTCCTACTTCGATTTAGAGACAGAAAACTTTTAGGGCCACTATATTATAGTGATGTTTTCATTCATGCATTTGCATGTCTTATTCTTTTATATATGTACATTAGCAAATGTCAAACACTATTACACCAGAGATATAAGGCCTTGTAAAAGAAGCACTTTCTCAGTCTTCTTGATCCATATGGACAATGAAGGATACATATTGACAATATGACAAGATTAATAAATAGCCTAAAGTGAATCTGAAAAGCTGGATAGATTACTCATTGGGAACTCAGGAAACTAAAGCTCAAGATGAATGAGCCCTTCAGTAGATGAACATTGAGGGCCACCTTGTATCAATTATCTATTGTATTATCTGTGCTCATAGTGCTATACCATTGTAAAAACATTCAACTAGGAAATTAGGATGATGCATTATATTGCAACTTTATTTTTGCTCTCAAGTCTTGGGTGTTGTTTCTTTAGGTTTTGTCTGGACTCAAATAATGACATTTCTCTGTATGGCTCTCTTATGTGTCATGATCTAGGCTGAGCCAAGTGAAATGACTCATTTCCCTCTAGGAGCCCTCATGTTCTAGCTGAGCTACCTAAACATTTTCTATAGTAGCAGAGTGGGTTTCCAATAGTGAAAGTGCAGTGGACTACCAGGCTTATTGCAAGTATGCACTAAGAATAAGCATGTCACCACTGATACTATGTATTGGAAACACCAGATTATTTTTCAGAGTAGTGAAGTAGCTGTATCTCTGATAGAAAATGTTATAAAGCCACATTGCAGAAGTCACTGCACTGCATAAGTATGGATGTAAGATTTCAGGCTTGTCTGCACTTAGTCTTCCATGAATGATATGAGGAATAGGTTTGAGAAATACTCTATAAAGCATAGAACAGTGTATGTTAAAGATTGGACATTGACAGAAACTGAAACATTCAAAACCCTAGTAGGGAGAAAAGAGAGACAGGACTTTGAGGAAGTTACAGAAATAGCAGGGGCCAAGTACAGTGGCCTTTTGACCTTGTCCACTGACTGGAATCATATTCTAATAAAAAGTATCATAAAGAATGATATATGTGATGCCACTGTTAATTATTATTTTATTTTGTTGTTTCCTTGGTATGGAACGTTATAATGCAGCCAAGTCTGGACTTGGGATTCACTGTATAGCTTAGGCTACCTTTAAATATAGGTCTCTTGTTTTAGCTTCCCAAATGCTAACATCATAGGCATATGCCCTCACACTTGTTTGATCTAAGTCTATTTTATGATTTAGTGGATTACATAATCTCAGTTTCTCTATTACATGATTTGTTAGATCATTTTTACATGCAATATAGATTTAACCTGAAGTTTTTTGGCCAATTTATGATAAAGTGTGAAAATAGTAGTGAAATAGTTTTGGGGGCTTTTCAGTCATTCATATGTTACATAATGAAGACATGGGAGAGATTGCCATGGAGACCAAGGAAACTGATGATATTGTTGGGAAATCTTAGCAAATACTTCCAGATGGGATATAGTTTTTTTATGGCAAGAACAACACTCAAGATCCTCCAACAAATAAATAGTTGAATTGATTCTTTAATTTGATGGAGATTAGAAGACCTATTTGGGGAAAAATAAATAAGAATTCATTTTCGGGAAAATTTTAGGATGTTTAGAAGCATCAAGATTGTACAAGGAAGATTGCACCTAAATGGTTGAAGTGGATAATGTTCTACAGAGGAAAGTTATTTCAAGTCATTGGGAATGTATGAAGTCATTGAGAGTGGTCACAAAAAGAGGAAGGTCCTGAAGTAAATATAGAACAATTCCAGTTATTCAATATCATTGGATACAGGGAGATACGTTCCTGCTCTTAATGGCTGCTTGTATTTTCTAATATGCTTTGACAATTTCTTTCAGTAATTAACTGCCGCTGAATTTTTCTGGATGTCATTGGAGAGTTAAAAAACAACTACATATTCTTTTACTCTTTGGCCAGTTGTAGCCTTATTATAAATACTTGGTAGTTGGATTTTCAGGAAAACATGGTAAACATTTTAAATGTCAGTATGTCTTGAATAACAAGCCCTTGAAAACTAGTTATACAGGTGTTGCTTGCAACATCACTGCCTGGATATGTTCTTTCCCTCTCTTAAGATAATATGCCATTTAGTATTTATTCTTAGCAATGTAAAATTATGACAAATTATTGATTTTCTCCCTTGAATTTCTTAGGTTATTAATAAAATTGGACTCTTCTCACATGTTCATTGGTAATTTAGAAGCATTGTGAAAATTTCCTAGTCGTGATCTTTGTCCAGTTTTCTGTTGATTACTTCAGAGTAATTCCTAAATGTAATTTACTATGAACATTGATATTTGTCTATAAGTGCTATGAAGTATGGCCACATATATTTTAACTTATTTTTATCTTGTAAACTCAGCTGTTGTTAAATTCAATTTATTTCTTATTTCCTTAGAAATTTTAATTTGTGTTATGCATAAGAACATGTTCCCAAGCTCTGGGTTAGAGGCCTATTTTGTACAGTTCTCTTCTAATTTCTTTTCTTACATGTAAGCCTTGGATCCCATGGGAACTTACTTTAGTTCTGAGCCTGAGGTAAAGGCCTAACTTGACTTCCTCAGGCTCCCTACATGAGGTTGTCTCATTTGCATTTAGTAAGTAGGCCAGTGTTGACATAACCCACTTTCCAATTAAATGCTACTACTAGTTCTTTGCTGTGGTCACAGTATCATGATACACTGTAGTAACTAGAAGTAGAGACTGATTCCCTGAAGAAATCTTCCACTGTGCTGTTTCTTCCAGCAGAATGAGATACTAGTTGGTTACTGTGGATTGTTAAGCCCAGATTTGTACAAAAGGATGATATTTCTCCTGTAGAGAAAGCCTGGTTATCAACTAGAGACAAATTTTTAAAATGGCAGCCCTGCATAGATTGTTAGAGTCTAGGTGCTTTATGCCTCCTATGAATAGGTCAGATACAAAGCATTCAAAGGCAGCATGGAGACACCACATCTGAACTTGAGAAAGAGACTGAGGAGCTGCCTTTGAGTCCGTTTCATCAATTTCATTTTAATCTGATTTATTTGGCTATACTTCTGTTTCCCTCTGCATTTCCTGTGTCAGCTTTATCACAAATCACTCCCCTGAAAGTTGTATTGGAAAAGCAATATGTATGATAGAGATACAGTTAACATCAAAGCATGTTCAGGTTCCATGGCTGTTGATAAAATTGACTATTTGGAAAGGAGAGGAAAGCGTTATTCCTGCCTTTTCTCTGCATTGTGGGCGGTGCTCATTGTATCTCTTCTACTTTCATTGTAGCAAAGTGACTGAGATTACAATAACTAATAGACTGCAGTATCCACATGTCCAGATAATTTTTGGT